TGTCGGAAAACACATGTCCCTTTTCTGGATAATTGTTAAGATGGAGAGTTAACTCAGAAGATCGTCTCATCTTATCCATTGTAGTTTAGACTATGAGCCAACCCGTAACTCGTAAGACCGTCCAATCTTATGATTAGGGTATGCTTGTGCAAATTGAATCGTGCATAAGAAGAGAATGTAAGGTAGGATCATGGGATCGTTGAGCAAGGTTTTACAAATACCACACTGGTGCGCCATGTTATTTGGCCATGTGAGAAGCTGAAGTGTCACGTCAGTAAAGGGTTATGTGTGTGCAGATCAAATATAAAATAGAAAAGTCTAAGATATTTACGATGCATAATGTCGACATCAACACTCCAAAGAGGGATAAAACATGTCAGTGTTTTTAGTCCCAGTTTATCTATGAGGGTCCTTTATATAGTTGTCACGTCTTTAATTACTCACTCTTACTTCTTAGTGCCTCTGTTCTTGATGTATGAAACGAGAATTCAATATTCAAACTCTTATAATATTCCCTCTTGATATCAACAACAAAAAAGAACACCTTTTCATTCCCTTTGATCTTTTATTGGTTGTTCAATTTTATTTTATTGTTTGGTCATTATTAAAATTTAGTGTTTCATCCTTATATTAAGATATATAACTCGATACTTGGTCAACGTGACGAATTAACATGCCCCCTAAGATGGTTTCCCTATAGACAGATTAATCACATTTTTTGGCCGATTAGGCCTCTAATCACATTTAGTGTTTCTCTACATTTAAGGCCAACTAGGCCGATCAATAGGTCCAACTAGGCCAATTTTTAGAACAGTGATCTAACCTAAGTGGTATCATATCATTCTTGACTACTTTCAGTCCACGTCTTAGTCCGTGTGACAATTAAATCACTCGGTATTTTACACACATGATCACATTATCACAATTGTGACGGAAAAGGTCGGAGAAGTTGGCAATAGTGAATTGCGGGCTAGAGTGTGACTTAAGGCTAGAGAGTGACTTACCAAATGGAACATGTTTTTATTTCTACATCTAGGATTACACTTATTATGTATACGATACTAATAATAACTCAATCTTTATGGCACAAATTTTTTTGATCACATTTGTGATGGAAAAGGTCGGAGAAGATGGCAATAGTGAAATGCGGGCTGGAGTGTGACTTAAAGCTAGAGAGTGACTTACCAAATGGAACATGTGTTTATTTCTACATCTAGGATTACACTTATTATGTATACGATACTAATAGGAACTCAATCTTTATGGCACGAAAATTTTTGATTTAGAGAGATAAAAAAGGCAAAAATTGGAACAAAACTTTGATTTGATTCGTCTATCCTTAAAAAAAAATTTCCATCATTTGCAATGGAGCCAAAGATTCATTATTTTTTGGCTTGAGATTATGATGGAATAAAGCAAAATGACTCACTAAACTGTCTGCGCTTCTTTGTTATGGAGCATCAGTTAGTCCATGCAATTTTGGACGCGATTTTCACTATGGGTCATCCGGAAACAGTCTCTCTGTGCTTTAGTACAGGAGTAAGACTGCGTACAACACTTCTTTGTTATGGAGCACCAGTTAGTCCATGCAATTTTGGACGCGATTTTCATTATGGGTCATCCGGAAACAATCTCTCTGTGCTTTAGTACAGGAGTAAGACTGCGTACATCCGACCCCCCCTTACCCCACCGTAGGCGGGAGCCTTTGCGGCACTGGGTAAATGAAAATGAAAAATGAAATGTCTATCCTTAAAAAAAGAAATACGCGAAGTTCCTTTGTTAAGTGACAAATGGAAAATTTATGAAGAATTACAATCCTCACCGTGGAATAGTGCACTTACGCGCCTTCGTCGACGTTGTTTTTCTCACAAGTCGCATCTTATCTTAACTAGGTGTTGCTCTCACTTTTCTCCTTTCTAAGCTACCTTTCCTAGTATGCCTACACATACAACGGTCATGCATCTCAAAGAAACTCATCTTTTGATGTGGCATTGCATTACCTCTGACTTCTATGTCATACAATAATGCAGACATAATTGTTGTTCAAAATTACCCTTTAGTCTAGTTGGCATCCCACAGTCACGTAGAAACTCTAAAGCACATTTCTAGTTTATTCACCCCTTTTTATTTTGTGGGATACATCTCCATTTAATTTATCGTCCTTCTGAACTATGGACCTCTTTCAACAGAACATATCACTCATCAGAATCTCCTTATGTTCAAAGTAATCTCATCAGTATCAATTACTAGTTAGCACAATTTATATCACTACTAAACTTGTTCTCTATATACCTAACTTTGCTTCCACTTGGCCTGAAACCATTGTCCTCCAGGGTTTGTCGCCATAATTCCAATATCGCTTTGATCTTGTCTCATTGATCAACGCAATATTTTCTATATTTTCTGTAATCATCATGCATCATGATATATCTTCTTGAACTTACTTTGTGAATTCCTTAACAAGTATGACAAATAAAAAAGGACTCACAGCCGACACTTGGCGCACTCCAATGGTAATAGGGAACACTTGCATTACAATCCTTATACATATTCTAGTTGATGCCAACAAAGGGTTTCTCATGATACACATCATATGCCTTTTCTATGCCAACGAACACCATTTGCATATCATTATTCTTATTTCTCTATTTCTGCACAAGTTGTTTAAGAAGGTGAATTGTTGTGGTTGTTGAACCCCCAACATAAGACTGAATTTGTTCTTTAAAATTTTCTTACTTCTTCATATCCTTTGCTCAAAGTTTCATGGTATTTCTTAAACTTAATTCCTCAATTGTTAACACATTATTGTACATCGAGCTTATTTTTAAACAAGGGGATAAAAGTACTCTTCCGTCAATGCTTCAAATGCGATTGTAAATGGACCTATATTGTGCGGTCATTGTTGTTTCTACAAATGTTGTTCAAGAGAGTTGTTAACCACTCAATGCCTTTCTCTCCCAAACTTGTCCAAACCTCGATCGCATGACAATTATAGTTAGCAAGTATACTAGTAACCTTAGTTTAAAAAAGTGCGCCTGAGGCGCGCAAAGGCGCTAGGCGCTTGCAGGCGAAGGGTTTATCGCCTTTAACTTACCCAGGCGGCTCAGAGTCTCAGAGGCGAGCGCCTTTTGCGCTTATTAGCGCCTTTTGCGCTTCTGAGAGGCGAGCGCCTTTGATGCCTCATGGACTTGCGCTGGTCTTGCAATTCCCTTCTGCGTTTTGTCTTCCTGTCTTGCGCTGGTATTATTCCGACTTCTGCGGTAAGTCTTTTTTTTATCTTCTGCTATTTATTCTTTTTTATTTTAAGTTCTTATATTTATAAAAATATTAAATTTATTTAAATAAAAAGTTAGATAACTGATACATATGTAGTATTATCTTTCGCTATATATAAGTTTTGATAGATATTATTATTAACATTTTTTAACAATTTTTTATATAACAGTTTATTACATTAATTATTGAAATTACTATTAACAGTTTTTATATAACTTAATGATTTAATTTATCACAGAATGACTATTAATTTATCACAGTTTATTACATTAATTATTTAAATTAATATTAACAGTTTTATAAGTTAATTATTTAATTTATCACAAAATGACTATTAATTTATCACAATTTATTACATTAATTATTTAAATTACTATTAACAGTTTTATATAAGCTAATTATGTTTTGAAGTTTTAAGACCGAGTTTTGTGACTTGACTTTTGGCAATTATGCCTTTAAACATATATTTCTTTCTTCTGTCTTATTGTCTTTAATTAATATTTTGTTTCTCTTGTGATGTTTATTAAAACTCCGTCACGAGATCATTTTTTTTTGTATCATGCCTGTCCCAACTCCCAAGCCAGGATAAAGGAGGAGGGTGCTGTGGTAGGCGCGTGACGGCCAACAGTATCACTTAGTCACATCACATGACATGAATCAATATATGATGTTTATTAAGATTGTTTAATAGTTTGAAGTATTTTTGAGAAGAGTGCTTTATGTAAAAGTACTAAAAATATATTTAACCAAAGAAATGTGGCTGAGATCCGTGAGGCGCGCGCCTCACCGCCTAGCGCCTCGCGCCTCGGGTAAATCAAGAAATCGCCTCAAGGCGCCTCGTGCCTTTTAAAACCAAGCTAGTAACTCTGCAACCTTGATATCATATTATAAAGAGAAAAGTAGGAGATGTGTTTTCAGATAGGGGCATGTGTTTCATTTTTAACAAAGTAGGAGATGTGTTTCAATTCCGTTATCACACGAGGGGCATGATGCCCAACGCCGTTAGAAATCGACAGAGGAAGACGATGAACAGACGATGAACAGTAACTCTGATTTTCAAAGGTGCCCGAAAAATTAAAAGAAAAATCTTGGGAGGTATGCCTCGTCAAGGAGACCTCCAAACCATCTTCCTCTTTGGATTTTTTTGGCTCTGTTTGGATTATTTTTAAAACGAATTCGCTAAAATTACTTTTCTTGTGGACTTCCTGGCGACAAGGGTTTCTTTTAATTTTTCAGGCACTTATGAAAATAGGAGTTGCTGTTCATCGTTTTTCTTCAACGATTTCTAACGGTGTTAGACGTCATGCCACTCCTGTGATAACGGAATTGAAACAAATGTCCTACTATGTTAAAAAATAAAACACATGCCTCTATCTGAAAATGGTCCAAACCACATGTACCTTTTCTGTACTTTACCCTATTATTAATAAAGTACTTTAGTTTCTCCTTACCTTGGTATGAAGTTTCTCCAATAAGCTGAGCTTTAACTGGTGCTTTATTTGACGTTTTCTCTCAATGAATTTCATCTTCATATGCTGGCAGATTTATCTATGCCACTAGCTTGAGTGGTTTTATAAGTCTCATTTGCAATTGTCCAACGTTCTGTAAAGTCAATTGTCATTGAGATGTGTACAGTGGATGTTGTGAAAGATATAATCACCCATATATGTTTTTTCGGCTATGAATATTGATTGCTGAGTTGGTGTTTTTGTGGATTACATCAGGAAGCAATTGCTGGGAAATGCAATGTTGTTTGTATTTCAGAGGACAAGAGAAACCGTCAACCTTCCGAGGAAGAGCTTAAGGCTGCTGATTATATATTTTACCGGGTGTTCGATGTTGCAAAACTTACCTTGGATCAGATAGGTGACAGTGACATAGTTGGTGGCCTGGAAGGTAAGAATCTTTACTTTTTAATACTCACTTGGTGATGATACAATAACTGAAAAAACTGTCTTAAAGCCGAACTAGTTGAGATTAGTTATTCACTTATTCATCATTTATTTGAATAGTACTTCTGGTACAGTTCACTTATGTGATGCAGTGGTATTAGCTGGACAACATTTTTCTCTCTCAATTGTATTAGTTATGATAGACTAAAAATCTTATCTAGTGTTTTACATTGTTGATACAGTTAAGTTTGTGTTTAATCGAAATGAAAGCGAAAAGGCCCGCGAGGTTCTCAAAATAGCTTCTGATTGTGATGAAGATTCGAATGCTACTGTGCAGTATAGTATGCAGAACTCATCTAATGGATTGGATATTGAAAAGGGTAATGCAAATTCAAGTTCTTTAGTTTTGAGAAATAATGAGCCAGAAGAAATGCGTGGAGATGGAAATGTTCTGTCCAGTGAGTTAGATTCAACAACTGAGGTGAAGTTTACTGCCATGCAGCAAATTGAAGACAACAAAGTGGCAAATGGAATTATCCTACAAGAGGATATATCTGCTAACAAGACAGTTAACAAGATCACTGGCAATGACACAAAGCATATAAGAAGTTCTGGTACTTCAGACAGTGGGGCTATAAACCGAGTGAAACATGATTCTGCTATGCCCTTGGAGTACAAGGATCCAAAGGGTAATAAAAGGTCAAGTATGAATGACGCAAAACCACAAGTTGGAGGTGTCACTAGCTCTGAACATACAGAAAAAGCTGATAATGTCAAAAATCATTGTGAGCTGGGAAAGGAAATGAAACCTGGAAAGGATTCCAATCTTGATTTAGACAGGCCTTGGAAGAAGGCCAAGATTGATTTCTCTGCCACAATACCTGGAGATAAGAATAAAAGTGATGTTCCTGAATCTAATTGTAGGTCTGGAGGGAATGAGGACAAAGTTATCCCAAAAGCTGTGAATTCCTCTCAAAAAGAGATTTCTAGAACTTCTAAAATCTCTGATGGATTGGATAATAACTCAAACAGTGAAATTCCTTACATGGATGAAGCTAAAAGTCTTGTTAAATCTACCATCGCTGCAGCAGGAAAAACAAAGACCAAACCTGGACAAGTTGGACAATTGTATGAGACGGCAAAGGAGGACAAATCTGGAAAGGATTCTATTATTGTAGGAGATGGAGCTTCAAAGAAGGCAAATGTTGGTATTAGTGATAAAATATTTATGGATGGGAAATATAATGCTCAAAGAACTAGTAATAAGCAAGGAGAGAAGGATGGCAATGTTTTGTTAAAGCCCACTAACTCCTTTAAAGAGCGGGCTATGCATCCTAAAGCCACACATGGATTAGACGAGGGCCTTCCAACGGTTAAATCTTCGATGAAACTAAATAAGCTCTCTAGTAGCAACATCTCATCATTGGGTGATGCTTCAACAAATGCAATTAAAGATTTGAACAACAAAAGTATTGAAGTGGCTCCAAAAGCTAAATCTTCTATGAAACCAAACAAGCTCTCTAATATCAACACCTCAAGGCTAAGCGGAGCGTCAAATGCAATTGAAAAGTTGCACGACAATGGCATCGAAGTGACTCCAAGACATGCCGTAAGTAGTACATCATGCATCATTTTCTTGTTAAAGTTTAATTTACTTGATATCCAAGTTGAGGATTTGTGAGTTCAATATTGATTGGGTCACAATATACACATAATTGATGGAGAATAATGGGTATAGTGAAGTTCCTAGATGCTATGATGCCGAGCCATGAGTTTAATGGATTTTTTCCATAAGAATCAACCCCGTTTTGTTGCTCTGCTATTATTACGTTACCAAATGTAGTTCAACTAAATATAGTAGGTGAGTACTATTGTATTGTGAAGTGTTTTGGATGATGAGGGAAACATGCGGCCGCTACCCGAGGGAGTATATGAGGTAAATCCTCATTGTGATCGTTGTTGGCAAAGTCCCACATGAAAGTAAACCAACCAAGGTTTCCCATTTGTATTTCATGGATACACTAAATATAAATATGGAGATACGAGTACGGTGATACGACACGTTTGAAAAATATAGAATATTGATGAGGGTATAATTGTAAATTAAAAAGTAGTGATTAATTTTCGAAAAATCATAAATATTAAACCATAGTAAAATGGAAAACTATCAGATAGGCAACGCTCATTCAACCATTTTTTTAAAGTGTTTAAATCAGCATTTCACCCATTAACCAACCGGTTACCAAGTTAATATGCATATGCATATAACGTGGGTAAATTTACTTTTTCCGTGTTTTCTTTTTCTCTCTATTTCCTTCTCTCTGCGTTTGCTTTCTTCTTCCGCTTTTTTCTTTCTTCTTCTTCCATCCCCACCTGGCTGAGCTTTTTTTTTATTTCTTCTTTCTCTCAACCCGTTTGATTTCTTTTTTCACCCCTACCCCTCTGAGCTATTCCTTTTCCTTTTTATTTCTTTTTTCTTTCTTTCCCCCTTTTTGCTTTCTTCTTCCACGCCTTGCAGCTCAAACAAGCTCCCTTTTGCCTGTTTTGCCCACTTCTATCTTCTACGCTCCTTACAAAACTACGCCTTTTACCTCAAATCCGACAACATCCCCGTCGACTAAACCGTCGCCTATTTTTCGAAGCACATGGAACCAAACAACACCATAATCGACGACGGAAAAAGTGGAACGAGACATCAAATCTCGGCATGACATGGATGTTTCTTATGATGAGGGTAGAGCTTGAAAATGCCCTACCCCATGCCTGACAAACTCCCCAAGTTTATTGTAATATCTGCAACATCATCGAGAAAGTCGCTTGCAGGTATTTTGTGAAAATGGTCCATCGTGGATCGAGTATGGTAATATGTAGATTTTTCAATTTTCAGATGTTTCACTAGACATTACCCCATTCTAATCTCGGCCTCACCAAGGAAAATCAGCAATTAAAGTTCAATTAATCAAAGTGAATCCATGCTTACAATGCAATCCTCGAAAATATCAAATTCCTAAAAAGTGCCTGCTCTTACCCCATTTGGAGCATAGGAACCGTGCCAATGGTGGCTCCTACAAAAATCCCCAAAACTTAGCAAATTAATCCCTTAGTTCCCTTAGTTCGAGGCCTATGACATTCCAAAGATGATCCAATGATGACACTTTGTTGTTTCTCCAAATCATGTTCAACAAACGCGTTAACCATGGGACGCCTCTCTTAAATTTATCCAAGCCTCGATTGGTATGCACTTGGATCCCTTGCTTTCTTCCGCCCCATCTTTCTCGAACTTCTTTAACATTTATCATTTGGATCCCTCTCACAAAATTCCAATTTACCATGCAATATAGTATAGTAAGATTATCTATACCTTGCACTATATTCTTGTTGAACAAGGTATCAAAGTTTGACCCTCACCTCTCTTTTATTTCCCCGCCCTCCATCAGTACCCTTTGATTGACATCGTTCACACACTTAACTTTTCCGATATCTTGAGTCCTATGATCACAAAGACGAACAAGTTCGTAAATCTTTTTTTCTCTTTCTTTAGAGTCCAATTTTACATACAATTCCTTATTCGCTTTTTCTTTTGCGTCCCTTTACGTTCTTGTTTGCTTTTCTTTTAGCCTCCTTGTACTTCTCTATGTTCTCTTCGCTCCAACTTTTGCTTAGCGTTTTGTAGCATTACCTTTTACTCTTTATGACCTGTTTCAACAAGATGTCCTTTTTTGGTGGCATACATTCTTTAGATTCCTCAAGTATCTCCTTCGCATCCACACATCATCCATATGTACATCATTACTAATCCACCATACATCTTCCCCAACATTTTGTGTGCAAAGCTTTGTTGGAGATCCCTCACGCCTCAACCACCTTATCTTTGACTCCATTTGTTGCTTAACCCGGTTGCCTTCTATGCTTCTTACCTTGAAAATTAAGCACAAACTGTTAGGGTTAGGGCGCACTCACACACAACAACCTGAAAAACTAGAAGAGAACGAGAAGAACGACACAAATTTAACGTGGTTCAGCCAGTAGATGTTACTGACCTAATCCACGGGGGCAACTAGGGTTTTCTTTCTTATTGAGATGATGAATGATACAAGTCATAGTTTACAAGTACAGGAGTCAATATATATAGGCAAACAATTAGGGTAAAACACTTGATAAGGTTCTGGGCCTGATTGACACCAAAGAAACAGGCTCAACTAGGGCTGCCTTCACATTTAACTAGAGCAGGCTGCTGCGCTTTGTTTATTTAACTCCGAGATCCGAATGGGCCCAAATCTTTCATTTCAAATTCTTGAGACATTTGTTTCTTTAACCTGCTGATCTCTTTCATATCTGCACCAACTATCAACATATCATCTACATAGAGAAGTAGAATGATATATGAATTCTTGAACCTCTTCACGTAACAACAATGGTCCATCTCACATCTTCTGCAACCTGTCCTTATCATGAAGTTATCAAACTTCAGATACCACTGCCTCGGTGCTTGTTTTAGACCATATAAGCTCCGTTTTAGTTTGCAGACCAGATTTTCTTTACCAACAACCTGAAATCCTTCAGGCTGTGCCATGTAGATATTCTTATCAAGATTGCCATGTAGAAATGTTGTTTTAACATCTAGCTAATAGTCACATAGTTCGCGGAACGCTTCTGTACGGGAATGAGGAACGGGAACGCGGTTCGGTAGATCTAGTGTATCCGGTTCGGAGGGGGGTAGATTCATTCCGGTACGCGTTCAGTACGCTGTACCACATGTTCGGTACGGTGTACCTTATATTTTGGTAATAAATAAAACTGAATTTCAGATTTCATAAGTCATAATATTAATCTAAAACAAATTTCATAATCATAAGTCATAACATTAAACAAAATAGAAAAAAACATTAATATTCCAGGGGAAAAAATTTTGATTACCTGGAGCGGAAATCGAAGAGGCAAACTCGTTTCCAACGAATGTGCCTATTTATGTTTACCGCACAGAAAACGAAGAGACTGTTCGCAATTGGTAGGGCTGCTATCATTACTGTTCAGATTCACGATTTAGTGCGACCTGTATGTCGTCGTGGTCGACTCTAGTCACGTTTAGGAATGACCTGGTCAGCGAATAGCGACGGGGAACGATTTGGGAAGCGATCGCAAACGACTGCAGCAGCGTTTTATGGAGCGATCTGAGTAGCGTTTGGAACGCTTTCGTACCGCGTTTGGGTACGCGGCGTTCGGAACGCAGTTCGTGGGTGTTTGAGCGATTTATGTATCTATGATCTAGCTGCTCTAGATGTAAGCCCTCTACAACTACAATACTTAGAACCAATTTTATGGTGGTCATTCTAACCCGTGGAGAAAAAATCTCATTATAATTCACTCCTTTTTCTGCTGGAAACATTTGACCACTAAACGGGCTTTGTACCATTTTGACCCATCAGGTTCATCCTTGATTCTGAATACCCATTTATTTTGATGTGCCTTCTTACCTTGGGGAAGCTTAGTAAGAACCCACTCTTGTTCTTGTGTAAGTCATCCATTTCTTCTTTCATAGCCTGCTCCCACTGAAACGAATCATTCTGCTTTACTGCTTCAAAGTAACTTTCTGGTTCTCCATTTTTCAGTCAAAAGGATATAATTGACTGAAGGACTGAATCTTTCTGGAGGTTTAGTGACTCCAGTGGATCTTCTGACCCACTGTGTTTCAACTGGCTGCGGCTGCACGGGTGAAGGTGCTCCTTCATCTTCTGAATTTTCACTATCAACAGAGTATTCGTGATCATCCTCAGGCTCGTCAGTACATGAATCATTCTCCATGCTCCCACTGCCTTGAGTATCTTCAGACTCTCTGTTTCTGATGACATCATTTTCAAACTCAACCCGCTCTTTCTGAATCTTTGAGTTTTTTGTGCTTCTGTCTTTATAAAGTTCAGCCTCGTTGAATGTAACATGTTTACTTCTGACTACCTTTCTACTTTCAAAGTCCCAAAGTCGATAACCCATTCTGTCTCCACCGTATCCAATGAAAGTGTATTTCTTGGCTTTATCATCTAACTTGTCACCATCTTTGATAAGATCATAAGAGCTGCATCCAAATACCTTTAAATGCCCATACTTTACCGCTTCTCCTTTGCACTCTTCCTCTGGTATCTTGAAACCCAATGGTACCGTGATAAGTACACAAATAGGTTCCTATCATACTGATGGACCCCGGTTGATAAGATAAGCGGCAGTGTTCACTGCGTCAGCCCATAACGTCTTTGGAAGCCCAACATTAAGTCACATACTTCTGGCCCTCTCATTCAAAGCTCTGTTCATCCTTTCTGCCACTCCGAATGCCATGTTCAGCACAATAATAAATAAACTCTGTGCTAATGTATTCACCACCATTGTCCGATTTCAAGCACTTTACCTTCAGATTAGTTTCCAATTCAACAGCACTTTTCCACTTCTTAAAAATATTGAAAACTTCAAACTTATTTTTAAGAAAGTGGACTCATACCTTACGTGTTGAGTCATCAATGAAGGTCACATAGTAGCTTGATCCTCCCAGGGAAGAGACTGGTGTTGGCACAAACACATCCGTGTGAACTAGCTCCAGCTTATGAGTTTTCGGTGTCTGCC